CGTAAATAGTATCTTATTTTTTTAATTAATTTGAATAAACTATCATCGATTCATTGATATTCTTTATTCTAACAATTAAGAGCGTTAAGCTGCTACATTAAAAGATGTGTTTTTCTTGCATCAAGGCTCACTGAAGATCACTCGCGTTGCACAAATCAAGGAATTGTACTCCAATTATCGTCTTAGCATGGATCTGGACGTACTCTTCCATAATGAACCATTAACAAATGGACATTCCCACTTAGGCGCTACCATCCATGTTGCCTTTTAGGACACGAGTCTACTAACAGAGACAGGTGCCACCAACTATCCCTGAACACCATCTGACAAAAAGCACAATGGTTTTAAATAGTTACTTCTTTTTCCATTATTTCATATTGAACATAGAAGAAAGAATAGGGGAGAGGAGAGGAGAGGAGGGGAAAAAAGAAATAGACACACAAGATTGGAGTGGGGATTAATTTATGACAAAAACATTTCTGCATTACTATGTCACAAACATCGATACATCAAAAAACTGCAGGAAATAAGGAATTTTAAATTCAGGAAAATGGAGGGAAAAGTAATTTATTTTGTACATGAAGAGGAATAAAAGAATCGTCTCAGCCTACAATCGTATCAGAATAAGAGGTAGAAGAGGAAGTGAGAGTCTTGACTCGGTTTGCTAGTTTGAGAGCATGACCAATTTTCATTGAAAGAGGAGGCGCAATGAAATTAGATGTTGATGAAGAGAGAAGTACAAGAGCTTCACCGTCCACCTCATTTATCTCAAAGGCGTCAGCGTATGGGGCACACCCCGAGGTACCTCGTACGAACTCCGCCACAGCACGTGGAGTCCATTTTGATATGGGACCTGAAGGTAGTGGGGGTGTGGGTGGGGGAGCCAGTGAAGACGTCGATGATTGAGGAGTGGCTTGGGGCTTAGCAACACTTGACACCGCAGGAGTTGAGTGGTGGATTGGTTGAGGTGCCTGTTTAACCTCTATAGGTATCTGAGAGACAGTTGTGGGCGGCGGAGGAGGCGGAGGAGGAGGAGGAGGAAGAGAAGGTAGGTGAGGAGGGGAAGATACGGTAGGTTGAGAAGGAGGAGGAGGAGATGGAGGTGTCAGTGAGGAGTGTTGAGGAATGGGTTTTGAGGTCAGCTTTTCCCCACTACTGTGATAAACCGGATGAAGTGTCATTTTTATGCCACCTATTCCAGCACTAGTAGCAGTTGTAGCAATCGATACTGCTACTGCTGCTGCTGTTTTACTGGATTTAGCGTCAATAAAAGCCGCCGATTTCGTTTCTGAAATAGATTAAAAATAGACGGTCAACATACTCATTTCTGTTTCGTTAACAATGATTTAGCAAGCATAGATTAGGTAATATCAACAATAAAATGAAATAATGACTAGGCAAAAAAGCCGCTCCTACCACAACAATTAATGAGCTTAGAGAAAAAAAGGTTTGGCCCTAATATTTGATGTTTTGTTTGAATTCCCTTTTTTATCGATCTCCCACTCTGCCTTACTCTGCCAGCAGGTACTTTCCAAATAAAGATAGAATTCCAATCAACCGTTTGTGCTTTTAGCTTTGCGCATAACGACAATGCGAGAAAAGTGTTTTAAAATAAAATGCACCAGTTACCTCCACAACAGTTAAAAGTATACTTATCAATATATTCTGCATTACCATCAGAGGTGAGTAGATGTTCCTTGTGCCCATTTTGTGAGGGCTGAGTAGTCGAAGTAGGAGTAGCAAGCTCCAAACAGGACTTTTTCTGTTTCTTCTTCCCCTCCCCTTCTTCGGTGTTTGGCATCTCACCATCAGGTCGCCCACGCTTCCGACCACCATTAGAGCAGGAAGAGGAAACCTGTAGACCAGGAGTTGTAGTGGCGGTGTTCATAGTCGCTCGATCGCCACCATTTAGACAATCAACATCACCTATCCTTTTAGGCTGCTGGTGTTGCTGCTCGGGTTCCGTTTCCTCTTCCCTCTCATTGCTGTTGACGACAGTTGTTGTGGTGGTGGTGGTCGCGTAAATAGACTCTGTAGAAGAGGAAACAGTCACGGAGGTAGCGTCAATAGCAACATCTTCTCGGCGCTTACTACCTCCGTTGCATTTTTGCAAAAATGACTCCACAAATGATGTTGCATTCCGAACCTGGAGAGTTGAAATAGAACAACATTATCTGTTAATCAATGAGAGATCGACAAAATAATTATACGAAAAGCAAAGTGCGATTCGTCTTTACTAAATCAAGTATTAATAATTCATTTCTCCCAGTGTTTCTGCGTGATGTAAATGAAATTGATGTTTTACTGGATAAACATGAAGTCAACCGCCGCTACGTATTACGGCTGCACATTTAAAAGGCTGAAAGCACTTAACACAGCAATCGAACGGTTATTTCGATGAATTTCAAGAAGTCACAACTAACAATCGTTTGAAAGTAAAATGAGGAAAAATTAGAATTCTGATGATCATCGACCACGCTCAATACAATATATGTCGCACTTCTGACCCTTTAACCCGCCGAATTGGCCATTACTACACTGGCGGCGTATAAACACTTACAACAGAGTTAAGTGGTCAGGCATATTGAA